TTGCAGTCTGGGACCTCTGGCTCCTAACTGCTCACCAGCCTGCCTGCATGATCACCCCTAACCACCTCTGCCTGCCAGCCTGATGCCCCTAACTGCCCTACCCTGCTGGCCTGATCGCCCCTAACTGGCCTTTGGTGCCAGCCTGATTGCCCCTAACTGCCCTCCCCTGCCAGCCTGTTTGCCTCTAACTGCTCCCCGCTGCCAGCCTGATCACCCCTATGTGCCCTCCGCTACTGGTCTGATCACCCCGTAATTGCTCGCCCCTGCTGGCATGATTACCCCTAACTGCCTGCCAGCCTGATGGCCCCTAATTGCCTCTGCCTTGGCTCCCACCACCATGGCTTTGTCTGGAAAGACGTCCAGAAGATGTCCGATCTAATTAGTATATTACCCTTTTATTATTGTGTGTGTGTGTGAGTGTGTGTGTGTGTGTGTGTGTGTGTGTGTGTATTTCCGAGAGGAAGGGAGAGGGAGAGATAGATGCCCTGACCAGGAATTAGAGAGAACTATTGATTGGCTACCTCTTGCATCCCTCACACTAGGGATTGAGCCTGCAACCTGAGCATGTGCCCTGACCAGGAATCCTGGTTCATTGGTCAATGCTCAACCACTGAGCCATGTGGGCTGGGCTAAAAGACTTTCACTTTAATATTAATCATCATAATTAACTGAGAAACTTTTCCCGCAAATGGTTGAGGTACAACTTATGAATAATACAATACACAAATTTTAAGTAAATAGTTCAATAACTCTCAATGAATATACCCATCTAATCAATACCCAAATCAAGACATAAAATAAGTCCATCCATCTGAGAAGCTCTTTCAAACATTAAGCTTCAAGAGTCCAAACCTTGGAAATCCAAATTCAATATAACTTAGGCCTGGGATTGTGGAGACAGATATTTGAAATCCATAGTGAATCTGGATTTGTGTCCATGGGAATCTAAAAAAAATAAAAAGTATGAATAAGAATAAAACTGGTAACTTTGTGAATTGAAGATAATACACAGATAAAAGCAGGGAAGTTCCTGGGAAAACAATGGACTCATTTTCTGAAGTGAAATTATTTTTAAGGCCAAAACATCTATATTTCCTCTTTGTATTTCCAGGGCCTAGCATAGTACCTGGCATCTGCCAAAATAGCAGATTTCTAAAATGGTTGAGAATAAATGAATGAATAATTGAAAGTCGGTGTGCATAAGGCTCTCTTGGTTCTAAAGCTTTATCACTTAAACTGTGCCTTGTACTCAGATCCAAAATAATATCACTAAAGTGACTGGGAAGATGAGTTAAACCTGCAGAGATATATGAGACAAAGGACTTCAAATGACTGAGCAGCATTTCTGAGTCTATCCCAAACCGACCTTGAGGGAGAGAAGTGCTCTTCTGGAGACTTCAGAATGAATGCTCAGACAATTGATACCAATGGAACAGAGACAGAAAACAAAAGAGCTTCGCTGGCTTGAGCAAAATCCATAGACCATTTAATTAAAGGCAGACTTGGCGAGGACACCCCTGGCAAAACCAGATCCCTCCTCTTAGATAAATGAAATAGTGCTACTGAGAGAACTGAGGAGCTGGGCTCAAAGCATCTGCCTAGGATCTGGTACTGACATTGTTATATTTAGGAATATGGCAACCTTGAGCATTCTCTCAAAAAGAAAACTTTCCCAGGGCAATGTCCCCTGAGCATGGATGTGCGGCATGGAGAACTGAGGCTATTGAGAAGACCTCAGCATAAGGAAACACACCAACAGTTTAAAGCACATGGGGATTTTGAGACACTGTGAGAGTTGAGACCAGACCCTGGTTCTGTCTGGACTTACCATTATCTAG